GAACATTGGGTCGTCGGGCCTGCGCGAGCCAGGGGGGGGAGGGGGGAGTCGTCGCCGCGCCCCGAACCTGAGGCCAGTCAACGCCATGGGAATAGGTTTGAACGCGCTTCGCAGCATAAGCGGCCGGCGTGGAATTGGGGCCTCTAACGCCGCCGCGGTCTTTCCCCAAGATCGGCCTCCAACGGGCGATGGGCCCCATGCCCCTCGCGCCTCAACCGAGCAGTTTGACCCCGGGAGCCCCGGAAAGTTCGAGCTTTGCATGTCCAGCCCATGATGCGTGAGTTTCCTGAAGAGCTTCGCAGTCATGGCCTGGTCGCCCCCCCTCTCCGATCGCAAGAAAGTGGCGCCCAGCTGCGCCTCGACCCTAGAGATGCCCATGGGCCCGAGCTGAGGGCCGAACGGAACAACAATCGGGAGAGCAGAAGGGCGACGGAAAAATAAGATAACGCAACTTCGCCAGCCCCTCGGACAAAACAAAGATCTGGACTGGCATGCGAGGGAAGAAGCCAGCTTCATCAATCGCCCGGACATCCGAGACGCCCTTCGACAAGCCCGAGGAGACAACAAAATCACCGTAGGTATTGTGTCCAGCTGGTCCGACAACTTGGCCCAAGAGAGCACCCGCGAACTTCGATTCCGCGAGGTTCCCTGGTTCCCTCTTCCAGTCACCGACCACCGCGTATGGCTTCCCGCGCGCGGATCCCACGGCCCCCACCGCCGACAGGATATCAAGATTAGCATCAGACAGGCCCTCGTAGTCTTTTATCAGTTACAGCGAGCACACCTGGGAAGCTACCCCTCCAGGTTCACGCACTACCGCCGAGATCGCTCGATGGGGGGCGATCTCAGCGCCCGTGGGTGGAGAGTGATGTCCCCGAGAGGACCGACGCAACATAGCCACTACCGCAGACGGGCCGCCTCCTGGCCCAGTCGCTTCTGGAGTCCAGCGGCTGTTGAAGCCCTGGCTGGAACAAAAAACCGAAGCCCGATCCAAGGCTTCCGAAGAAAGGAGCTCGCGCTCCTGGATGAGGACGAATTCGGCCCCGAGACACAGGGTAACCACTCCTTCGCCGACCCCCGAGAATTGCCGTTGATCGACGACTCGCAGACGGACTGACTCGGCCACTGGGGGCGGTGGCGGGGCGCCCTGCAGCTGGGCTCTCGCAGAGCCCCCGCCAGGAAGGATAGCGCGTCCTCTCCAGCCGTTCTGGACAACCCGCGGCATCGAGGCGGGCCGATGGAAACGAAGCACGAGGGGGAGTGCCAATGGCAGCCAGCCAACCTGCATTCCTTAAAGACAAAAAAACAGGTGACCCTTGCTCACTGAATGATCATGGAAGCCCCCCCCCAAAAAAAAGCTGCCTGGGCGCCTCGGGGGGGGGGGGGGGGGAGGGGGGGGGGGGGGAGCTCGATTGCCTTTTTTCATCGTCGCCAGCACGACCGCCAGGAACCTTCTGGGCCCGCTGCGCGATGCGAGCTGTCTGTTCTCGCACTTTGCTCGTCGACGCTGCGGCGGGGGCGGGCCCTGGCGAGCCGCCGCCTCCTCCAGCTGCAGCACTGGCTGCCGCTGAGGAGGGGGCTCCGCCCCCATCGCCGCCCGCGGCAACCCCATCCAGAAGGGCCGCGGCGCCGCTTGCCCGCCATGCGCTGGAGGTGGCTCTCGTGCTCCTTCTTGACCTCATTGGCGCGCTCGATGGCCCGAACAAAAAGGGCCTTGACTGCCTTGCCGATGTGCTCCTTGAAGTCCGACCTGCGCCGCTCGACTTCGGCGAGGTTCGCCTCGTCGATGCCGTCGGGGTCCATTGAGAAAAGGCCTCCGTCGTTGATCGTGATGTTGGCAACCTTCCCGTCCACGAGGTCCTGCAGCGACAAATCTGGGCCCTTCGCGGGCGCCCCCGTGTCATCAGGTACCACGGCCGTGTGGAACTTCGCCACCCATTGCCAATGCTCTTCCACCATGGTCTGGCTCTGCTTGGGCAAGTCGTGGACGAACACCTCTTGGGCCTGCACTCCCTCCTGCCACCGCGACAGATTCGACAGCTCCTGCTCGAGGCGTTGGTCCAACTTCTTGATGCGGTGGTGGAGGTCCGAAGCCTGGTCCTGGAACGCCTTGGGCGGGGGCTTCGCCGCCTCCGCCAACTAATCCAACTTGGTCTGGTAGCGGTCCGCGGCCTTGACGTCGCCCATGCGCTTGGAGAGCGAGACGAGCATATGCAGCTCCTTCGCGTCCAGGGGGCCATCGGCCGATCCAGCAGGCGCTCTTCCAGCAGGAGCTCGTCTTAGCACCTGCGGGCCAGCAGGGAGGACGGCCTACTCTCCAGGCGGGTGATACCCCGGAGTGCGAGGCAGGCCCTGCTGATGAGACCAAACGCCACCAGGAGCGCGAGGATCGCCAACGGTGGGCACTTGGCACGCGGTGCCACAGTGCTTGAGTACCAGCGCCACACGCTCGTCTTGCCGCAGCCGCAAGCCACGCACTTCCACCGATCTCCGTGTGCATGCTCCTGTTTGCTGTTCTTACCCTGGCCTTGCCAAGAATACGTAGTGTCGTACCCGTGCCCTCAGCTGCGCCAGCCATTGCCTGAGGAGTGCCAGGGCGGAGAGCTGCCGCCGCCGCTGCCACCTGCACCGCCATGGGACATGGGAACTGGTAGCTGAAGAGTGAACGAGAAGAACAAACCCCCCCAGAAATGACCCGCGGATGCCGTGCCGTTCTGCAATTTAGTATACGCAAGCGCAACACTTGCGCAAGAACGGCTAGGAGGACGAGGAGGATGAAAAGGAGGAGGAGGAGGAGGGGACGGAAAGGAAGGAGGGGGAGGAGGGGAAAGGAAGGAGGGGGAGGACAATGCCTTTTTGTTGACCTGTTTCGTTCTGCCACTCTTTGGCTGACTCCGACGTCGAGCTTTCCCTGGCTCCGTCGCCGCTGCTCGTTCCGCTTCCGGTTCTGGTTCCAATCCCAGAGCCGTTTTTGTTGCCGTGTCCGTCGCTGCCTAATTACCGCTTCCACTTTCAGGAACCACTTATTCGAAGACGGTGAAAAACCTGTTCTGCCGTTTCCGGGCCCCGACTGCTCTACCACGAGGCATTCCAATAGGCCTACCACGAAATGCTCTCAGAGCCGGAAGAATGTTCGAAAGACAAAAGCAGCAATGCTCTTGGACCATCGACCAGATGGACTAACGCACGGCAGTCGCAACAAGAACTGTTCTGAGAACTTTCGTGCAAACCACCAGGCTATTGGAACATTCTTCGGTGGCCCGGCTACAGGCAAGCCAGGATGCTTCGCCACTGCTTGACTGAGGGGGTCGGGAGGAGCCCACGAGCGGCGAGCGTGTCCCAACCGCTTGCCACAATTCGTCGGAGCCTCCGGTTTCTGGGGCGCAATGCCCGGGCTCCTGCACCGGGCTGAGGATGGACATTGTCAGGGCCATCTTGGGGCCAGCTCGGGCCCCGTGGGTAAATCAGGGCTAGGATCGGGATAAATCGCTCCAGAGCGTCCCGGAGCGCTCTCAGAGCGTTCCGGAACGCTCTGGAGCGGCCGCGGCGCCCAATACATCCTCCAAACCCGCCGATTCTCAGAGATTTCGAGTTATCCCGATCCGATTTTGTCCCGATCTTCGCGTCGTTCTAGTGGGGGCGGGGGCCATAGGCAAAGCGGGGGTCCCCGGGGGCTACGGGACATCACGAGCGGGGGACAGATCCGTGTCACCGCCCTCGCGGTCGGGACTCCGCGGGCGCGATCCCACGGTCGCACGGATGCACGCTGGTCGAAAGAAGCAGGTAAAAGCATGAAGTAGGAAGGCGGATGAAGTAGATTGGGTTCAGGCCCTCCCAAGTAAAAACAGAACACCGCGAAGCACATCGATTCTTGCAATTTGAAGGCGCTTGAAGTGGAGTGGGATCTGGGCGTTCAAAAATACACACACATTCACGAAACGCGCGGAACAGCATCCGCGAACATGCGACCCGCATTTGTGGGGTCGCGGCCCAGGGGCACGGACCGCAACGCCGCGGGCACGGATACGTTTTTCGCTCACGAAGAGCCCCCTCATGAGAAACACCCCGACATGCAGCGTCCGTCAGCAAACGCACCTAACGAAGGGACCAATCAGGGCAAATTTGGCCAAAACACGCCGAATACAATAAACGCCAACTACGATGGTCGAAATGGACTTCCCTCCCGTGATGCTGACAGATTGCTTTTGGCTACTCCCCGACATGCACCATCGGCATGAACATGAACTTTCCGAGTTCCGCGCGGATTTCTTGAATCGAAGCTAGGAGAACGCGTTTGATCACCAGAGTGAACCTGAGCTTGCAAGAACGGCCAGCGCCCCAAAGCAAGCCCGGAGCGTGGGGTGACGTGGCCTCTGCGCCTTTCGACCAGCACGACAACGAGGTGGACGACGAGGGCGAGGAGGACGAGGAGGCCGGAAGAAGGGGACGACGACAACGAGGAAAATGAGAAAGGGACCGGCGAGCACCAATGGCGCCGTCCAATCCCTTTCTCGTTCAGCCCTACGGCCTACGTCCATCCCAGTCCGTCCAGCCCCGTCCGGCCATCCCCTTTCACGTTCACCTGCACACTCACCTCCGTCAACCTCCTCCCCCGCCGCTGCCCAATCGTCTGTCAACTCCATCACGTTTGTTCTCCTCCTCCCCCTCCTTCTCCTCCTCCTCTTCCTCCTCGTCATTCACTCCCTCTGCATCTCCTCCTCCTCCTCACTTTCCTCGTCTTCCTCCTCCTCCCCCTTCTCCGCCGCCTCTTCCTCAATGCCACTTCCTGCTTCTCCGCGCTCCTCCTCCGTATACCTCCTACTCTCCTTGCTCTGTTCCCCACTCCGTCTCAGCCCCCAGGGGCGTTCAAACTCCTTACACCCTCCTTGCCCCCCACTGGAGGAGGAGGAAAGGAAAGAGGAGGAGGAGGAGGAGGAGGACCTCCTGCCCTCCTCGTCCTCGCCGCCTCGGCAATCCCCCTCGGCGTCTAGGCCCCCGGC